TGTTAGCGCAGGGCCAGTCTTCCTCAAAAAAAAAGAAGAAGAAGAAGAACTTTCTGGGAGTACTGAATGGCCGTTGAGAGTCGTGGTTTTATGTGTCAAAGTTCGTTTTTTCCCAGTTGTGCCAAGTGAATATGCATTATTTTCATTTTATGCAAAGACATTGTAGTGCGTTATCTGGAATGCAAAGTTTAAAATCTGGTTAAGGTACCCTTATGGTACAGCAGTGATTCTTAAAATTTAGCGTGCATAAGAATTACTTGTGAATCTTATTTAAAATTAGGTTCTGGGCCTAAGGCCACTACGTTGCAGAACTCCAGAAGGCATCTCACAGTGAATGAGTCTCTGAATTGGGTGCTTTTGATGCAGCTGGTCCAAGGACCAAAACTGCTGTTACAGAATGCAGCTGTAAAATGAGGCTAGAGTGCGGCTTTAAATTACTCAACTTTAATTACACTTTCTGTATGTACAGAGTAAATATTTAAAAGCTAAGAGAATAATTGACTGTAGATGTGATTAGTTTTTATATGTATAGATATTTGAGCATTGTTAGGACTGTGATATGGAGCAATTTAATTTTAAAGTTTATGCTTAATAGGTCTGTTAATTTGCCTACCATAGATTTCTTCTGAGTCTGTATGTAGATGGAAGTTCTGTGTTTACTATGAGAACATGTGGACCAGTGTTTGAAAAGGAGCTGGTGATGCTAGTTAACACCTTTTAGCACTTTATGCCAGAGACTCTGCTAAGGCCTTTATAGGTGGTATCTCTTTTATTCATCAAAATGACCTTATAGGGTAGATGCTGTTGTTATTCTCATTTGTCAGCTAAGGGATACTAGGGATTAGAGAATATAAATTATCTCTCCATTGTCACCCACCCAGTTAGTAAATGGTAAAGTGACGGTTGAATCCAGGTCTAACTCCAGAGCATCAGATTTTGGTTTTTGTTTTTTCTAACTACAAAAGTAATACATGCTTATAGTAAAAACAATGAAAACATAATTGTGGTGTATAGTGCAGAAAATAAAAATATTCTGTAATCTCGCTCCCAGAGATAACCATTGTTAGTTAACCTTTTGATTTTTTTCTTTAGCACACACCAGTATATATTATTTTGCTTTCCAGAAATGGGATAAACTGTAATTTTTCTGCAGTTTTTTTAACTTGATAATATATTTTGGTACTTATACAGAAAGGTATTCCATAGATAATGCTCATGGATATGGATCAGGTATATATGTATTTTGCACATGGTATTTCTGTCACTTTTTCAGTGAGATAAATTTGGGAAGTGGAATTGCTTATTCAAGGGTATGTATTTTAAAGTGTCAATAGGTACTACAAAATTACTCTCCAAAAAGATTGAACTAATTAATTCCCTGCTAGAGTGTAGGCTCCGTAATGGTTTTATTATAATCCAGCGCCAAGCACATTGTCAGGCATATAGGAACTGCTCACAGTGTTATATGGATGAACACTGGATAAAGAGTCTGAGAGTCTGTTTACTCAGACTATTGCAGAGACTGGATATTATAAATCTGTAAAAAATTTTGCCAATTAGTAGGTGAAGGAAATCTCATTGTTTTAATTTGCAGTTTTTAGTAGTGAAGTCGACCATCTTATCATATGTTTTAAATACAGTCACATTTTAATTTATTTTGAGTGACTTAATGTTGGGCTCTGTCCAAAAGCACTTCACGTATGTTATCTATATTACCTAATTTAATGTTCAGTGAATCTTATAAAGTAGGTGATATTATCCCCATTTTACAGATAAGAAAACTGGGGCTTGTTTAAGAGGCTTGCCCACAGTTATAGCTGGTAAGTGTCAGGGTTATTACTTGAACGGGGGTCAGCTTGCCTTTAGGGGCCGTGCAGACTTAACTCTAAGCTATGCTGGCCCAGTAAGTGTTGTGTATTTTAGTTTCTGTGAATTTTGGGAAGAAGAGAGTTAAGTGGAAGAAAGAAAATAAAATCCTACAAATACCTTTAGGAGACTGCATTTTAGGATACAGTGCATATTGCTTGAAATGAACAATTCAAGTTGCACTTGCCTTCTTAAAATTCACTGCTTGTGATTGGCAGCAGAGGTATGTGCTGGTAACAGTTTAGACCTGTTCTCATTAGGCTTCAGTGTTAAGTGTACTTCCAACCCATTTTCTTGGGAAATGAACAGCAGCGTCTACTCTGTTAAAATCATTATACATTGTGTCCAGTGTCAGATTTCTTCCTTTTAGTAATTAGTGTTGTGTATGTGATAGAATTTTTTTGTCTTTAATGAAACACACCCTTTTGAATTCTTTAGCTTGTGTGCTCTTTTCTGTGGAGAGCCTAATAAGCTGACCTCTTCAGGTTTTCTCTGTGAGGTGCTAGTTTTTATTTGGCTCAACCACAGAAGTATTGACTGTGCTTGGTTTTCATTTCTGTCAAACGATATCTCACAGAGCAATAGTTACTTGAAACACAGTTTTCAAGAGTGTTGATCTGTTAAAGCTTTTTCTAGGAAACCTGTGGTAGATGAGTAACAGCAGGAAAACGAGTGTTGAAAACTGTCTTGGTTTTTATGCTATGGCTGTTCCGTTACACTGCGGTTGTCTGAAATCCTGAGCAGACATGGAAGTTTATGCCCTGTTACTACATAGTACCTTGACCGTGACAGTGCTTTGGGTTTCTGTCTGATTTCCATTTCTCAAAAATGAAACTCCTTATTTTTTAAAATCTGCTCAATTCTTCAGCTTCCCATCATTGATACGTAGTCCCAACAATCAGACCTGGAGACCAGTTAAAATAAATGGTCAGGTCAGGGTATGGAAAATACTGATAGGCATGTAGCTGAGCTTTTGCAGCATTTGTAAAAAATTAAAAATAGGTACACACATTAGAAAGTAGGCAGAAAAAGAAAAGCAGTTATTAATGCCGGGAAAAATTGAAGGATTGTACTAGAAAGGAAGGTTGGTTGTAATACGTTATATAGATCACCAGTGAACAATATTTCTAATGTAATACTGCTGTTTAAACTGGAATGAATATGTGTTATGACTGGGATGGGGCAAGGGGGAATTGGCAGGGGTGGAACAGCTAGGTCCTCATCTTTCAGGTGATAGATAATGGCTGGAATAAATTAAGAAACAGCAGCAGAAGCATATTACTTAGAAGTATTGAAAGTAAATACAAGGAGAAAGCTAACAACAAAATAGAGGGTGATTGCTTGTGAGTGTTGGAATAGGGAACTGCTCTTTTTCATAAGCCTTTTAATACTCTGTCTTTTAAAGTTATATACATGGATTAGTTTGATAAAAAATAAAGTAACTGCAGAGAGTGTAAGTAAAAAGTGTTTAAGGACACACAAAAATAAATACTCTGAGACTGATCTTCATATTTTTTTATATTTGCTAGAACTCTTTCTTTACTTTCCTCTCTTAGAACCAGCGCCACGTAGGATATCCTCGGTATGCCCTGATAGAATAAACATTGGTTTGGTTTATTAGTTGACCTGCAGCAAAATGTTTGGCTTTCAGAATTTGACTGAAGGACTTGTTATTACCAGGTGATTTCTTTGCTCCTAGGTAATACTTATTTCCCTCTAATCTTAGTATTCCCAGCTGGTTTACTGCTGTGTCTGTTTTGCAGCTATGCTTGATTAATGCCCGAATTGTTCACTTTAGAACAAAAGAGTAATAATCACTGGTGCCCCTCAAATGAGTTCTCTGCTAGGTGGTAATTATCCAAGAAGGATGTCACTATAAATAATCTGTCCCCATTCTGCCAGTGTCAGTGTTGTCTTCTGCTTTTATTTAGCCTGTATGAAAATGGTGACTGATCCAACAAGATTGGGGCTTTATTTTCCTTTAGTTATGCAAAAGTCTAGGTTGTGTCCCATATTCATGGCTGGAGACTCTGCTACCACAGTGATTGTACTGCCCACAGTTCACCATCACCTGGTATACTACCTGAGGGTTATTACAGAATCTTTACCTGCAAAATGCCGTTTGGATCAGTTTAGTACTTCTCTGGCTCTGACAGAAGTAGCTGTTCTCAGGGTAATTGTGTGAGAGACTTCTGTTTGACTTTCTGGCACCATCTCGTTGCACTTGTTTTCCCCAGACAAGATACCAGGCTGCTCAGATTCTGAAAAAGGGATTTGTTTCACATGTAGATTAGGACTTCAGCTCTGCTCCTCAGGCTAGTTAGAAATAATGTGAGGGCTACTTCTGGAATGCTGAACCTTGGACATCTATTTCAAGGACTTTTGGGGACCCCAGACTCTTGAGGGTTCTTATGCAAGAGCAGGTCTCCACCAGCAAAAGGCTCTGAGCTGGATCTCCTTTCTCTAGTTACCTGAGCTTGCTGATCACAGTTGGGAAGTGGTAGAGAGAGAGCTGCCTGTGCTCAGAGTAGCAAATAGAATAAAAAAGTAATTCCTAGGTTCACTTGCCCCCGCTTTCCTAGGAGCAGACCAAGGTTTAGTTTCTGAGAACAGTTAAAGCAGCTCAGGACCAAAGCCCACATTGCTTGCTTTTGATTGGATAGGGGACCCAACATTTTCAGAAAACCAGAAACGTTGGCAGGGAGATAGGAGGGAGATAGGCCTATTTAACTGAGAAAAGTAGGGTGCCATCCCCAGGGTGAGGCCTTTCTTTCAGTGGTCTGCATTTCATGCCCAGAGAAGAGTGTAAGGGGTGAGGGAGGAAAGGCGGAGACTGAACGGGACTCCAGCCGGTTTCTGCACACTGCACACACCCAGCGGGAAGGAAGAGGAAGTGTGTTCTGGAACAGCTCAAGCAGCTGCCGCCATTGGCCAGCGGGCCTGTCAGTCGCCTGGGGGCTGAGGCTGAAAAGAGGAAGAAGGAGATCAGGACTCTTGCCTGGAAGGGAGGGAGGAGGGCTGAACCAGGCTGAGCCAGGGGGCGTGGGGGCTGGGACAGCAGGCCGATTGGCAGGGCGGGGCTGCCTTCGATCCTGGCCACTTCTCTCAATCATCCCATCCCTCTTCTGATCCAGGGTGGCATTGTGTGTCCCGGAGTGCAGGAGCGAGTCCCAAAAGAGAGACGAGGCTGAGCCCAGAGTGCTGGGTTGCTTCAGCAGGGAAGACTCCCTTCCCCCCTGCTTCAGGCTGCTGAGCACTGAGCAGCGCTCAGAATGGAAGCCATCGCCAAATATGACTTCAAAGCTACTGCAGACGACGAGCTGAGCTTCAAAAGGGGGGACATCCTCAAGGTAAGTGTTGATGCCAAGCAAATGCTGAGATGGCCTCTGCTTGTACCCACATACCTTCTTTTGCCCTGATAATATGTAAAGAAGCCGGGCTCGCTCTTTTTTCATTGCCCACTTTTAACATTTACCGTCGTGTGTGATTTGGATAGCTGAGATAGATGCTGAGTAGAATATTAAATATGACTTAAGAGGGTTGGTGTAATGTATGGTCTTTAACTGCCTTTGTGTGAATGCCTCAAGTATTTCTCTTTGCTTGTTGATATTGGTAATGCAAGTAAAGTCAAAGCGATATGATTATAGTAAGGAAGTATATGAGTAGATTGATTTACCTTGTAGAGTTTTATTAAAAATTAGAGTATTTTTAAAAGACCTAAACTTGAAGTATTTATGTAAAAGCACTCAGTCTTATTTTACATAGTTAAAAGATTTTTGCATTCTGGAATATGATCCTAGTCGGTTAGAAATTAATTTCTGGTTTAGAGAGGTGGTTAGAAGTATATGCCAAAACTCGTTAAAGAACCTTAGTGTATTTTTTTCTTTATGAAAAAGCTAATAGAGCTCTAAATAGTAAAGTTTAACGTGCTGTTGTACAAGTCAGATTTTGATTTTCTTAAAAGAAACTTGTGGAGCACTTACCCCATATTAGACTCTAATTGCACAAAAGAAACCTGCTGACAGTTTAAAAATAAGCTTCTTTACAGTTTGCAGCTCTTTCTGAGCCCCACTATTTACATGAGGATTCTCTTTCCACCTGGCACATGTTAATTATGTTGTTTACCCAATTGACTAGAGCAGCTTGCCCTTTGGGATATGTAATTTATTTTTGCAAGGGTGGGTGTTATCGAATAGTATGTCAACTCCAAATGAGGAAAACCTGAAGTGTAATGTTTGCGTATTCACTCGCTCGCAAGTTTTGACATTTTTTTCCTTTAAACCTTAGTCTGATTGTTGGAATTTGCCACCCATTTGTTTACTATCCCTGAATGAAACTATTAGAATTTTACAAAGAGGAGGAAAGTGGAAATGTGGAAATACGGTTTTAGACAAGGACTAGTGATTGTTTTTTTTAAGTTGTGCAGACCTGTGGATAGTTACTATTTTGCTCTCATTGCCCAAGGCATAGAGTTCAACTCTGAAGTTATCTGCGCAGTGGTTTCTAAATGTTAGACATATAAGTTGTACTTCATAGAAGGTGATATTGAAGAGCCCTTTAAGGAGAGGGAAACTGTGTGTGTGTTCTTTTCAAAGCTGTTTTTGTGACACCAGGCTTTTTGAGGGTATTCTCAAAGTCAGCACTAAATTGTCAGAAAGCAGACAGAACCAGCTACAGATTTTAGAGTGACATACATCTTCTGTTTCTGTTTTCTTAAAGAGGTAGAAATCAGAGTAAACATAACTTAGACTACTGAATTACTTCGTATCATTGGTGTACATAGGAGGTAATATGATGTTTTCATAGGTGATTACTGTTTTCAGCAGATAACCCGCTCGTGATGTCATAATAAGATTGGCTACTCAAGTACGCACATTTGTAGCCTGCACAAAAACCTTTGGGGGCCATGTTTGTTTTTTTTTAAACACAAACTTAGATTTCTCCGTTAAGCTTACCCTAGAAACTTGAACCTGGAAGCCTGGTAGTTCATATTTTTCTCTTAAGTCTATCTCGTTGCATAGTTAGCACTAAAGCAACAAATTGAAACAAAACTAGGGACTTGAGGTCTGTTTTTAAGATTTTTTAGAGAACTTTCCCTGTTTACTATCATTGATGTTTGTCCTTGATGTAGACCATAAACATTTTATAAGTTTTCCAACTTAAATTGGTAAACTCTTGAACAGGTGTAAAACGCTTCTCTCCCATCATTACAGCATTAGAGAAGGTGATACTGTTTAACATTCCCCCAGAAGTTTTTATGATGGGAGAGAGAGTGAATCAGAGTGCTCACATTGACTTTCCAGTTTTTTCTGGGAAGAGGGAAAATATATATATTTGGTTCTTTCCAATTTGGTAGATAACTGGCATATGAAGTCATAATGCCATTATTACTTTTGAATGGTGGCCATTAGCTATTTGTTAGTAATCTTGTGGCTTTACTCCAAAAAAAAAGTGACGATACAGTAGTTGCCCTTTGTCTCATAATTCTGTGAAACAGCTGAGTGAAGAGGAGGGACATTGCTTTGTCTTAAGAGCTGTTAGTGAAAAAAGCAGTGTTTTCTTTATTTGATTATTCAAGGAGTAACTGGCTTCATTTGAGTGGCTTTG